TTACGTGGGGAGGCTCAGGCCGTACTGTTAGTACGAGCCTTCTTCTTCCGATGAAGATAGCCCCCACGTTCTAGAACATCCATCAAGTTCTTGCGTTCGCGCTCCAGACGATCCGTCTGGTCGCGCAGATATGATACCTCGGAACTCAACCGAGATATCACCCCGCGAGCTGTCTCCAGCTCGCCGAATAGGGAGCGGACATCCCGCTCGACCTGAAGCTGCGCCGTGGCATAATCGGCGCGATCCCTCGCCCGATCAGCCTCGTGACCCTTGCGGTTCTTCCGCACGGTATCGGTCAAAGCTTAGCGCCGATCGCGCTCGTGCTTCAAGTCATCGCGCAATTCATCGATTGTGCGATCCATCTCGTAAGGGTCGAGATGGTGAACAGAATCATCTGGAGGAGGTCTTTCCTCCTCCACCACATCCTTTGGTGGATGCTCACGGTTATCAACGCTTTCTAGTGGAGCGTATCTTGAATCACCGTGACGATTCAGGATCAAGGACGAGCTACCTCGTACAGTGGCGGGGGTATCCACCCTCTTGGAACAGCTGGGAGCCCCGCTCTCAGCTGTTGATGGATGTTGAAGGTCTCGTCCGCCAGTATGACGAGACCCATCCGATGAGTCCTGTGGCCCATCGGTAAACACGCGCCCTAGGCGCTTGTAGACGGATTGCAAGTTTGCAATCGCGTCACGCATCTCAGCCGAGATGTGTGCCCTTCCCCAGGGCGAATTTAGGGAGTACACATCCCTATGTGCACGCTGCGAGTTGTCAACACAACTCGCACAAGGGTCTCCCCATGTGAGGCAAGGAATGCCTGCCTCACTCGATAAACAATGCAACCGGTGCCTAGCACCGGTTGGCGTTCGCCGTTCGAACCTGAGGCGTGTCGTCTCAAGTTTCTTGAGCCACCCTTCTCGTCCAAAATTCTTTACGTTTTGGACGAACGCGTTCCACGCAGCCAAAAGCGATGTTTTGTCACGCTTTTGGTTGCTGTTGTACCATCGATGTCTAAGAAAGACATCGAGATAAAAATCTTCTTCAGCACGAAAGTTGCTCGCGCTGGGACTCAAGCCGTGAAGCTCGGTCGCATCGAATAAGAGTATTCGATGGTTTTGGCCTGTCTCGTGATACAGGCTATTGATGAGCCCTTCGGGCAAACGCCACGGCTTCAACTCATCACGCTTCACAGTGGTACCCTTGTCAGTACCACGGCTCCCAGATTGACGACGGCTCGCGCCATCGTCATCACGCTCGTGCGAAGACGCACGAGCCGGCGGTGGTGAAGAATAGAACTCACCACCCTGATCATCATCATCATCACTGCCGAACAGACTGTGATGCAAATCACGAGTCCGTTCGTTCGGCAGTGGTCTTGGCGAATACTGAGGCGTCGCCGGTGAGCGAGACGCCTCTGGAGCATTGCCCGAGTCAGACACGTCTGACTCGCCAGAGTAGATGACCTCTACATCGGGGTCATCGTGCGCACGCGGTGTGATACCGCGTGCAACTGCAGCACCTGTTGCTGCAGGCGAAGAAGGGGCGGCAGACGACGAAGCGTCTGCCGCAGAGGCTTGCACAGCACCAGGCTGTGTGGGTCTTGATTCACCTCGCATAGACATGTTAACTATGCGAGGTCAAGCGGAAAGTGAATGGAACGGACCCAACAAGTGATCCCAGTCCCAATGGTGGCCAACGGGTGGCCTCCATGTTTTCGATAGTCACACGGTGACTATCAGTTAAGGGGGGTGATGTAACGGGGCAGCCCGTTACATGAAATTGTCACTTTAAGGAAAGTGACAATAAAGAATATAAAGATGGATATTCTTTAAAACAATATCACCAAAGTGGTGATATTGAAGGGTCGACCAAAGGGTCTGTTCATTGGTTGATATCGTGATGATATCAACCCACCAATCGCCGCAAGACGCGCGCAATGAGTGGTGACGAGACGTCACCATACATGCAGTTATATTAGTATAATTGAATCAAGTCAAACGAAGAGACAGTAGTTTAAAGACTTAATTTATTAATATAACAGTTCTACTTTTACCCTACCTACGCTTCCTCGCTTGCCACGTGTACGTCCGTCGGGGCACCCAAATCCCTTGCGTTAAGTTACGCAAGGGTGTGCCCCGTTACATCATGGACGAGCGATCGTCGCCTTGCGAAGAAGAAAAAAGAGCTGTCTCGTGTGTGTGCGTGTGTGGCAGCTCTGGATCGAGGAGGTGGTATTGTGTGCTGCAATACCCTCTTTGTGTAGTAATGCCGCAGATATTCCGAGTGCGTTCAGCCTGTGTTTCCTGTCGCTTGGGATCACATCGAACAACAGGGAAAGGCGTGTACGCCGTGGCAGTTTCAGCATAGGAACTTTCCCTCGACCTCGTGCGCAGATCCTCGCTCCGTTTAAAGCTGTGTCTGAGGTTGATGCAGCAGGAGTTTTGATTTCGGCAGCGCTAAACGCAGATGCTGTGATTCCAGTGCAGCCGATTGTTGGATATGGATCTGCACAGTGCGATAGAGAAAGGGCAATGGCTTCAGCACGAGATTCATTCAGTGCAGTCCTACCCATCGAGATCCACGGACCCCGATCGAGTTGGACACTTGTGTAGACTGTACGGCATCAACCCTCTCTTCGTCTGCGACACTATACCACATGAGATATTTGTTTGCGATGTGATGATGCTTTGTTGAGACACTCTCCTCCAATGCGGCGGTCATCATGTCTACGAGCGTGGCGAAGGAATTTGGCTGTCTCTGAGGACTTAAGACACCATTGCAAGATACTTGCTTGGGCCGTCTTCCACGCCTACACCGTTTGCCCCCTCACGGCCCGTTCTGCTGACTCGAGACATTGGGCGTCACGGCGGCACTCCGTACAGGGCACGTGGGACCGGTAGCTAAGTCCGCGGTACGGGCAGGATGCAGAGGATGCCTGACAGAGAGTCCAATCAGCCCTTCGGACAGTCCCCATGATCCCAGACGGAGTCTTGACTCGTCCTGGCGGATATGTACGTCAAGTACTGGTCCGCACTGGCGGCTTGAACGCGGATGTAGAAGAGCAAGAACTTGTTGGTGCCTGTCGCAGGGTATTTGATACGCTGCCGACCTGTCCCACACCTCGGGACGCCTTGCTATTGCTCCCCTCAGTTCGCACGCATCGGAAAGAAGACTCCCCCCGTGTCACGTGGGCGCCACTAGGGGACTTCTCGCCCATATGGAGGGCGGCTTACGAGCTGTTATTGGTCGTCGGTGCGTGGCCGCTGCTGCTTGTTGAGCCCAACTTTGGAAGACCATGTCGACAAGTAAACGTTGAGCAACGATCGATCAAAGAGGGGCATGACGTATTCTGCATGTACACTGACTTGCTCACTGACTTTTCCATCGTAACGGTACGCCATTACTCTTTCCACAACAAGCTAATGGACGAATTATTACTCTTCCCTTCTACGGCGGCGTGATCCGCTAGTGAACAAGCACTTCTTATAGTCTCGGACGTGCCAGAGTTGACACCAACTGGTCGATCACCGTGCTCGGTTTCGTCCAGAAAATGCGCCATGAACAGCTGCCCTCATCGATTCCGTCGGGTCCGTTGGATGCGGACGATTGACGAAAGAGCTTTGGTCGCATTGGCAACACCCATCTTCCAGTGATACTGCCATAGTATCAGCTCGCAATGTAGTACTGCGTTTGTTCTCGCCACAGTCCAGCGTACGTTGTTGTCTTCGCTGCTGGATACACCTTCTTGTGTTCATGAGCTCACCGGCGTCAATAATTGGAACACGCCCATTCTACTAACGTTTACCCGTCGTCTTCATTGTACGATGATCGCTTTGGAAAGAAGCGCGCATGCAAAGGAAACCCATTGGGCTTGGACGACCCAAGCTTAAGAAAAGCAGTGCAGCGCAATACTGCCATCTGCAGCTCCACCGCGTCTCTCAGCATTTCCTGGCGTTCGTGGCCTTGGTGCTCAGCTAGAAGTAACGCTAGGCCGGGGTAAAAATCCCTTACTCGAGGAACGGCTGGATGGCTTCGCACGCAACATCCAGTACGCCTGTTGCATCGAATGATTGGATACACTGAGTTTAAACGCCAATGGGTGCGTGGAACGGGCCCACGCACGACCAATACCTTGAGCAAACCACGCGGTGCAGAGTTGCTTTGAGCGTTTCCAATGCATTGACGTCTAGCAGAAGTGTACGAACCTTTGGCCTTCCCAGTTCGGCAGCCGCTTATAGAGAACGTCTCAAGCTGCTCCCACGCCTGCTTTTGCTAATTCAGCATCTTCGGCGTCACATCCCGTCACAACGCGAAGGCGAATCGTAGTGCTCGTGCAACACATTAATCTGGCAAGCCCTGCATTATACACTTCACCACATCCGAGACGCGACGTGCGAGAATGTGCTTATAAGCAAACAGGCGTGACTTTGCCAAGACTGTTCCGCAAACGCGCTCCGGGATCGAGTTAGCGCTAGACGCAACGTAACATGCCCGTCGCTGTTTTATCATAAGCAGTTCTATCTTACGCACATGGAGCAAAAAATGAAGCACTTGTCGCCAGTAGACACGCCTCCTTGTGAATCCCTGTGCGGGCGTAAGGTATAGCCAAAAAGCGGTACGAGTATTGCCTAAAAAAGCCTTGCGGCGACGTCAACAACGTTTCGACTTCGATGGTTCCAAACGCTCTTCAGTCTAAGGCGGGACGATTCCGGCAAATTCCGAGCGATAGCGGTCGTTATAGACCACATGAGCTGGGATCCTTGACAAATCCTGCCCTTCACGCAATACATTGTAAAGAGTTGCAAGCTGCGTGCCCTGCCGCATCGTTCAGCTGCACAAGCTTGTCTTTCTTGTATGTAATCCAGCGTTGCCCAGCATTCGTGAACACATTCGCGGCAGCGTGTGCAGTGCGAGCTGCTCACCTCTGACACATGTTGGCGCAGCAACCAATGCTGCCCATCAATGTTTCATTCATCTTGCCTGAATGCTCAACTAATGCCTCATTCGAAGGTGGACTTAAATATGGCAAGCGCGCTCTTCTGTGCTTGTTTCATGCGTCCGTAAAGAGAGACCGACCCTTTTCGACCACGAAGTATCATGTCTGTCTCGTCCGTAAAACTGCCTCGCACGGAACCTTCGAGTAAACTAGGCGCACTGTTTGTATGCCTTTTGTCGCCGCTACGTTCACTGTACGCATGTTTGACCGACTGCACTCGGACCATCGCAGATTGTGGTGAGTTCATGCCCTTGCACCACCTGCGCACGATTTGCGCACGTATACATGAATGCTCCTTTTCATCAATCTTTCCGCGGAGAAACAAACTCGCCAGATCCTCCAACTGGTCTTCCATCTTCTCCAAGTCTTCACCAAAGCTGTGGTGCGCTTGCAAGACATCTACTCGCTTGTAGCGCTTGCGCTTTTCTTGGTCGTCTCCGGTGCTTGCGGTAGTTGCCTTGCTCCCTCCACTGGTACGCAAAGGGTTGCTAATGTAGGAAGACAACCCTGACATTCGATTGTGGCCGCTAGCCTTACCCGACATGATACTCGATGCCGATAGCGTCGACAAACGATCAGACTTTGAAGGCGACGGCGGTGCACTTGCTGTCCTTCGCTGCTTGGCTTTCGCTTCTTCAAGTTGTTGGCGCATTTCAATTTTCTTAGCCTCGAACGCAGCAAACCTCTCCATCACTTCGTCCTTGTGAATAAGACGGAATTCCTCAACTATGTCAGGCTCTAGTTGGTCCATAATGACCAGACAAAAGTGGAGAAACTTGTCCATCTCGGTCGTTGTCTTTGTCATTTCACGCGCGAAATACTCATTGATTGCCAGCAGCACCTCACCTGCGTCTTTGGCGTCCAGCAGGACTTCCCGGAGGGTGAAAAATATTGACATACCTACTCCGAGTAGCACGCGCGATGCACGTTGCATCTCCTTGGCACGCGCTAGCAGCATATCGATCACCTTGAGCCCACAAAAAGATGGAAGCGATGTTAGAAAGCAAGTTACAAGCCACTTCGTGCACAGAATCTCCATGTTGAGCCCGAGCTCGTTGAGATGGGCATGCAGCTCGGGGTCGTTCTGACGCAGCAACGTGTCCATGACCGCGCAGTCAGTATGTAAACCAATCATAGAGTCCACGTGGTAAGCAGGAAGCAGCACTTCGATCAGCAAAGTGAGTCCTCGAAGTGCCTGATCTTCATCTAAGTACTGCAACAGCACCACCAATATTTCATTCATACCTTGGCAGTATCCTACGCGGCGATTGCGATTAGCAAACGCTGTGAGGACTCGCCTCATTGGAACCATTTGATCGTTGCGCAAATTCCGTGTCCTCGTTATGTCATTTTCGATAGATTTGGCGATTTCCCGGTCTAAAAGAGCCTCGTTGTCTTCGTTCCTTATGTCCGCAAGATTTCGGGCAAGATCTCGCGGTGCGCAAAGCTGGTTGATCAGAATTGGCCACACCCACGACCGGTGTACGTCGGGCACACCGCTCATACTATGGCGAACGACAGCCTCCGGCACACCCGATATCTGTAGGCGTTCCCACAGTGCACCTTCGTCTTCTAAGGACGTTTCCCCGGTTCGACTCACATCGTCGCTATCTTTTGTGGATGACGCATTGCTAAGCACCGAGTTTGACAGGGACAGGCTACGAGATGGAATCGAGCTGAGTGGTGTGTCGGCTCCTCCCAACGAATAGTTACGCATCGACGAATTCGTGCGTAACCGCCGGCGATTAATCTTGCTGATTCCTTGGTACACTTTGGCCAGCATCTCTTCTTCCGATGATGTCGTTACGATCTCAAGTCCGGCTTCTCCATCTTCTCCACCTCGATTGTCTCCATCGCTGTTGGAAGACGAGTTCTCCAGTTTGCAGGCGTAAACATTGTTTTTGCGGCCATATTGCTTACTTACATTGGAGTCGCTTTTGCTTGCCCTACTGGCGTTTCTTCTCTTTCCTTGATGTCTTGAACCACTGGAGTCATCAACCATATGCTTTCTCCACTGGATGAGCAACTCGAGGCTGTATATCCTGCCCTTGCGTGGTTGCTCCTGCATTTCGAAATGTTCGGGTTGATCTGCCTTCATCTTTTTGCTGCTTTTCTTCGTTTGAATTATATGCTGCAACGTCTTTCGCTGCACTTCTTCCTGCGCTAGCTGTGATCGATACTTGTGGCGCAGCGCTGCCAGCTCGTTGTCGTCAATTTGTTCGTGGATAAATCCGATAAGATCGAGAAACGATTCGGCCACAGAATACTCATTCAGCGTTGTCCAGCAAAATTCGTTAATTACCTCGAGCACCACATTCACATCCTGGATCTCTACGAGCGCCGAGCTTAAATACAACAACACTGCCAGCGATGTCGAAAATATGATCTTCGAGCATAGGTGACGACTGCAAATGTCCACAAACATGATATCGTACAGGCGGCAGACAACGTCAAATGGCATGGACTCGGCGAAAAACGAGAAGAACCACTTTGTACAGAGCAGCTGGATCGACACCCCCATCACAGCAAAGTGTTTGCTGAGCGCCAAATCATGCGCACGTAGCAACTCCTGCAGCACAAGGCAGTCCGTGTGGAAGTCCACGACGGACTCGTCGAAGTACTTAGGCAGCAGCACCTCCAGCAGCAGCCGGAAGCTCCAAAAAGCGTCCTCCTCGCCCAGAAACGTACTGAGCACCACACATGACTCCACCATGCCGTGGCAGTAGTAAAATGCGTTTTTTGGCTTGATGTAGGCCAGTAAAATACGCCGAATTTTGCGCTCCTGGAAGGGATTCAGGTGGTCAAACCTCTCCATTGCCTCTTCTTGAGCTTGATCCAACGAGGTGCTTGTCCCTGCGTCAGCCTTCTCCAGCACCTCTTCGTACTCCATCCCGTTCAGTATCTGTTTGTAGCTGGCGCTGCCTTCGCTCTGTCGCTGTAGCTTCATGCTCTGCAATGCATCACACAGGTCACGTCATGTTAACAACTGCTACCAGACGTCACTCACATATCCCATCTTTTCAGTGTACGAGTGGTCGCATTTTGCGTGCGCAGCATACAACTTGCCTGTTCGTGCAACAAAATGGGCCAAACCCACTCGCGGTGCTCGGACGGGACGCCGTGGACACGGATCGCGTCCCATATGTCACGGCTACGGGTGAGCGAGTGGTGCTCGCGCCCCGACTCGCCGATCTCCTGCGCCAGTCGCCGTTCCTCCTCTCGTAACTGGCTCCACGCAACTTCCATGCGCTCTGCGTGCTGCTCAATAACGTTACGTCAGGAACTTCAGTGGCTGTTTGGGCGAACCGCTTTGGTTCAGCGGCTGCTTTTTTATCGAGCGGTCGGATTAGAACGGCCGAGGCGAACTTAACGCGGTCCATGCCGTTATAAACCGTCGTCAGAAGATGCATAGCGTGGCATTTTTGCGAACGGCAAATCGTTTCGAGACCGAGATAGATTTCATTACGGCGTGCCGTATACCAATCATGAGTGCAGTATACCACTCGCAAGTGCTTAAATCCACTAACAAGTTCTTTATACCGCTTTTGAGTGCTTTGTACCGCTCATGAGTGCTACAATCCCAGTACCGTTTGGTATACGTGTTTCTGTCTGCTATCCTGCAACGCCAAGTTCTCGACGGTTTGCACTCGTGGTGGCGATACAAAGAAAGACACAATGTAGCTTAAGAATACTCGTCTTGTGTGTGAAGCTTTGGTCAGGTTTTTCTGCCGCTCTTGAGCTTCGCATAATCTAAGCATGACGTCCCTGTAGCAGCGTTAAGCGAGTGAAATGCCATTACATTTAGTCTCTAGCTTATATGTTCATGCAGCACTTTCCAATTAGTGCATTAAATGCCACATTCTGGCATTGGCTGTGCAGGCCTCCACTTGAGATGTCGTCGATACGATGTCGTCGTCACATCCATTGTAAGGCGCCCGTTTCATGACAGCATAGACCGCGCGCAAAATCGAAATTCCTCAGACTGCAACGGAGAGCGCCCATTACATGACATTGACACTAATATCGATATCACTGAATTTATTATCGTAGCGAGTAATATTATACGAAAAATGGGGATTCGTTATTCATCACTCACTCTTTCGTTAACCAGCACCCACCCCACAAATTACTGTCTCTGATTGGTCCAAGTGGCGAATCAGAACTTAATATTCAACGACTTCCCTGACCCTAACAATAACCACCTCGCACTACCATTTCGACCACCTTTCTTCTCTTTTAACCCACAATGAACAGCCTTGCACCCCCTCAGAAGCTTGCCTACAGTTCCCTGGAAGAGGCTAGAGCCGCAATTGATGCTCATGCGCAGCTGAAAGGCTGTGTTGTTGTGACCAAACACACCAGAAGGGTCGACACTAAGAAAAAAGGTGATGTAAAAGATGTAATTCTTCTTTGCTCCCAGTCGACCCCCCCAGTCATACCCCCATGTGCTAGACTTCGCCCGCGTACTTCATCCACCCGCAGAACTGGCTGTTTGTTCAAGGCCAGTATACGGCGAGGATAGACTGGAGAATGGCAGGTACAAGATGTCAATGGAGAACACAATCACGAGCCCTTTGTCCACCCGTCTGCTCATCCACAAGAGCGCAATTCGACATGGGAAGCTCGGCAAGAATTCTTGGTTTTAATACGTGCTAGAGTGACACCTGGCCGCATAGTCAACTCACTGCGGCTAAACCATGATGCCTTGGCCACAGATCAAGAACTTTACAACCTGCTTCATGCAGAACGTAAAAGTATACTGGCTGGCCGCTCTCCGCTAACAGCTCTCTTGGGGTCTTCGGAAACAAGTGACTACATCTCTCATGTTGATCCACAACAGCATCTTACTCACCTGCTGATAATCTCTCTATCGGCAAAGGAGCTTTGTCAGAAGTACAATGCTGGTTGTGTGTGGTTGATTTACACAACATACAAAACCAACAGATATGGACTCTGTAACGGGGCAGCCCGTTACATGGAAATGTCACTTTAAAAGAAAGTGACAACAAAGAATATTAAGTGAATATTCTTTAAACAATATCACCGAAGCGGTGATATTGGTGAAGGCGACCAAAGGGTCTGCTCATTGGTTGATATCTTGATGATATCAACCCACCAATCGCCGCAGGACGCGCGCAATGAGTGGTGACGAGACGTCACCATACACTCAGTTATATTAACATAATTAAGTCAGGTTAAACAGAGAGACAGTAGCAAAAAGACTTAATTATATTAATACAACAGTTCTGCTTTTACCTTACCTACGCTTCCTCGCTTGTCTTGTGTACGTCTGTCAGGGCACCGATACCCTTGCGTTAAGTTCACGCAAGGGTGTGCCCCGTTACACCTGGTAGCACTTTGTAGTCCTTCCAAGGACCACAACATCCAACATGAACATTTTGGATGATGAAGAGACCTTTCACGCCACGCGTGAAGGGTTTACCCATTTGAGTGACATCGAATGGGGTGCGGTAGAACGAATGAGTTCTACCGTAGGCGAACTCGTCGTCAGCACCATGTTGGAGTCTCTAGACAGAGACCAACAACATGCCGCTATAGCCAAGTTCATTCAAAGTGAACTTGTCGCCGAAAGGGAGAAAGTAGCCTTGCTTCACCAGCAAGGCTCTCAACAGGCCGAGCAGTTGAGAGAACTCGGTGCTCAACAGACAGAGCTGTTGAGACAGCAGCAATTCCATGCTGCTGTGGGCGGGACGGCACATGCGCGTCGTCCCGAGGTCATGAAGGTTGACATCTCCAAGTACAGTAGAGTCCCGGAGGACTCCCTGTTACTATGGTTTGTCGAACTCGACAGAGCCTTAAGGGCTCGTCGCGTCGAAGATGAGCAAATGAAACTCACATTTGCTCAGACCCACTTGGCAGGACGTGCCAAAACTTGGTCCCTGGGGATCGAGAGTAGCGACCCAAATGTGTTTAGGTCCCTAGATGACTTCAAGTCCCGGCTCAGACAAACGTTTATGCCGCTACGGGCTGAGTTCAGGGCTCGTTCTGAGCTCCTAAAAATCAAGCAGGGTAAGCGTGATGTGCACGCTTACGCTCAACATATACGACTCCTCGCGAGTAGTATAACTGCTGACCCAGTCCATGAACACACGTTGATTACGGTGTTCATGCAAGGGCTCGCAGAAGGGCCCGTCTGGAGCCACCTGTTCCGCCTTGAGCTGAATACGCTTGAAGAAGCGATATCAGCCGCGGAACAGGAAGACTCTAGCATGAGACAGGCTCATGCTAGCTCAAACTCTTACCGTCCACCGAGACGACAAGAGATCGGAGGTCCATAACCAATGGACCTCTGCTATGTTGAGAGCGAGAGACCTCGCTCTTCAAACAACTAGCGATTGCAGAGGTGCAATCGCTGTCAGAAGTTAGGACACTACGCATAAGAGTGTAGTGCTCCACGCCCAGTACCAAACAGTACTGAGCGAAATGGTCGACTATTCGCCAAGAAGGGCAATGGGCGTGGGTCCAGCGCTGTTGCGAAGCCGCAACAGTGAGACGGACCATCAAAAAATGGTCGGGGTCAGTAGGGGCGGAGCGCCCAACTGATCCAGCAACCTCAAGAGAATTTGCAAATCTCTTGACGAAAGTTGCTCCAGATACATAATCATTGTGTGTCTCTGCACCTGGTGATGACGTTTCGCTCATCACCTTGAAGTTGGAAGCGACAAATGATTTGTCGCTTCGTGCCCTAGTAGACTGTGGGGCGTCGAACAACTTTGTTCGTCGCCAGTCACTAGAGGGTCGTAGGCTCAAGTTCGTTGAGCGCGACATTCCCCCTCACAAAGATGACGGTGCGCCTTGCAACAGGCGCATCGATAACCGTTGAAAAACGTGTAGTAGGAATCCACTACACGTTAGAGGGCGAACAGTACGATGATGACTTCATCGTACTAGATCTGGATGACAAATTTGATGTCATCCTGGGATTACCTTGGCTCAGAAAGTACGATCCAAGGGTGAGCTGGCAGCATCGATCCGTGAAGATACCTGCTGCTTGTTCATCAGATGGCCATTTGATGAACATCTTGGAGCGTCCACAAGCGTGTGGATGTTCTGCGAGTGAGTGCGATGGCCTCACTTGCGGTTCGGTCGTTAGCACGACTGCACAAGATCACAGTGTAGTTGATCACTACACTGTGGAGCAAGCTCCCGGCGGCTGTACAGAAGTACAGGCTGCGCCGAAGGTCCACCACTCGAATAAGTCGAGTGGACCGGGACATGGTTGCATGCCTAGCGGGCAGCATCTTAGACAGAAGAAACCTTTTTTCCCCAAAGGGCAACATGGAAATCCTAGGTCGACTGGAGATTCGAACGTAGAGGATCGGTCCCTGACTGTGGTTGCACAGCCACAGTCAGAAGACGTCGAGGGAATAAGTCCCCACGTACTTGAGGAAGGAATTCCTCAAGAGTCACTTGCTGAGGGAACAGGACCTCAGCAACCTGTGGAACGAAGTTCCCAGAGAGAAACGGAGACATTTAACGTCTTGGTCAACGACGGATCAATCGTAGGCGCTTATACGCTTGATCTGATTGTGCCTCCGAAGTTAACTTCGGAGATAACTCAGTTGCCAACGCTAGAACCGAAACGGTTCTTGAGTGATCTGCGTAGTGGCAAAGTCAAGCAGATCGGCGTACTCGTCACAGAGGACGAGTATGTGACCGACATTCGGTCGGCAACAGTATTTGCTGAGAACGAACGGGTTCTCAGCAGCTCATCGATGGACGAAAGTGTCCTCGATGAGAAGACTCGGATTGGGCGATGCACGTCTCAATCCTGGGAGTCACTCCAGGCAAATCCTTTGTACAAGGATTTGATCGAATTCAGGGATGTGTTCCCTGAATCCGTACCTTGCGAGTTGCCTAAGGACAAAGGCACTCGACACGAGATCGAGCTCAAACCGGGCTCGAAGTGCTGTGTCATGAAGCAGTGGCCACTGCCTCGTGAACAAGTACTAGCGATCGACAAGTTCTTTGCCGATCGCTTAGCAGCGGGCCATGTGAGGGAATCAACACCCTCTCACAGCTCTCCGACCTTCTGTGTGCGAAAGGCCACAGGAGGGTGGCGGATAGTGCACGCGTTCAATAAATTGAAAGCTGCAACGGTACCGGCTCAGACGCCGATACCGAGGAAGGACGTAATCATAGATGGTATGTCAAAGAGTACCATCTTTTCGTCCATGGATCTGATGGATGGATTCTATCAGATCCTCATGCGTGAACGGGACGTC